GTGTTGAGCCAGTGATGGAGGTGGATGGGTCAGAGTGACAACCTGGCAGTGTCCCCCGGGAACAGCAGGGGCCCCACGGGTTGTGAGCAGCTTTAATGGGCTGCCTGTGGTGGCACACTGAGAAAAGCCCACTAGGAGAGCAGAAGTCAGGAAAGTACTCCAGGAGCCCCGGAGAGCTGACGGCCCTGGCTGGGCCCATAGCCACAGGCATGGGACAGCAGCTGACCGCAGTATGAGTTCTGAGGTCAATCATCAAACTTCCCAGTGGGTTAAGTGTGGGAGGCAGAGGATCAACAGATGCTGAGTCTGAGGCCCTGACCTGGCAGCTGCAGAACTCAAGGCCCAGGACAGGGACAGAGACATGGCCGGGACAAGCTGCGGGGAAGGGACAGTGGGCTACAGCAAGTGTGAGCTGCTCTCCTGGGGTAAGACTCAAGGCTGTACTTCCAGGGACACCAATGGGGAGTGGGCCGGCTGGGCTCCAGGTGGCATGTTTGACAAGCCATGGGTGGCCGGGCTGAGCAAGCACAGAGGTGGCCAGCCTGAGCCCCAGATCCACAGGGAGAGCTCAGGGAGTGAGGAGCCCCCACAGGGGACCAAGTAGCCAGCCAGTGATAGGAGGAAACCAAGAGGACACGGATGTCTACAGTGGCTCAGAAGCCAGGCATGGCAGTGTACACAATGTTCCCAGCACTCGGAGGCTGAGGCAGGAGGACTGCCAGGAGTTTGAGGCCAACCTGGGTTCCATAATCAGTTCAAGGCCAGCCTGAACTACAAAGTGACATCCTGTCTAGAAAAAAACAAAAAACAAATAAAGGTAAATAAATAAAGTGGCTCAAGAGTCCTTCTATAAGCTTTCAGGAAGACGGAAGGAACCTCATTCCAAATTCCAGGAAGTGAACAAGGGTCATGCAGCCCTGACCCTCCCGACCCCAGCAGGAAGAGATGGTGAATACAGAAGCAGGGGAAGGGATAGGATTCGAGGACCCCGGTCAGGACAGACCAAGGGTTGGGGGTAGGAATCGGCTACCAGGCGTGGTAGGAGACCTGGGCCCCAAGGTTGTTTTGATCCTGCCCAGCCTGGCCACTGCCAGGGTCAGGGGAGGCCACAGCTGCTGTTGATCGGGTTGCCAGGGAGGAGAGGAGCGAAGAAAAGGCCCTTTCCATTCCTGTGCACAGCCTGGCACAGCCCTCCTGAGTCCTCAGGCTGAGCTGCCACAGGACCCCGGCCTCTCCCCAGCCACGAAGCACAGAGCAGCCCTCAGGCACCCAGTGTCGCCAGAGCAGGCACCACCTGTGTGTGCCACCCTCACGGGGACCCAGGTGCCCCCAGGACAGGACAGGCACCCCGAGCCTTCACCAGCCACTTCCTCCTCGTGGATGAAGTCCAAGGTGGCTGAGCACAGGTTCTCAGCAGGGCAGTTGGCACAGAGGGGCGCAAAGTACCACCGCTTCCCAGAGGCCGAGGCCGGGGCATTTCCTGGAACCTGAAGAGCCAGGCAGACAGAACATAGCTTAGGCCAAATGGCCTCAGAAAGGACAGGCAGCATGGGACCTGTCGTCATGGGTGTGGACATGTGTCAATACATGTCAGCATGTGAGAACACACATGCACACATGTGTCCCAACAAGTCCTGCCTGCATCAAAGCACACAGCACCTGTGAAGTGTGCACGCATATACACACAGCAACATGTGTGCCCACGGAAACCCTATGTTCTCATGTGCTTCATGTGGTCACACACCACAGCACACGTGCAGGCCAGCTGGCACGTGTACACCAGCGGCATGTATGCATGCTGTAATGCACACCCACGTGCACACACGTGCACACACCCATGGAGAGCGAATCCTCCAGGAGCAAAGAGGGAAACAAGAAGAAACCACTCAAGGAAACTAAAAATAGCCTCAGCCTACAGCTGCCACCCAGGAGGAACAGGAAGTTGCCTGCAGGAAAGAGGAGGGACAGGGCAGAGCCAGGGCGCACCTACACCCCAGTGCCCTGGCGCCAGGTCCCACTGGAAGTGGCCTGATGTCCTGACACAGCGACGGGGTATAGTGGTGGCCCTCAGGGACAGGTTGGGCTCTGACCCCAGACTCACGGAGCCCCCAAACCAGGAAGAGGCCACGCCCCTTCCTGGCTCTCACAGTGTAAGGGGACTCATCAGAGGCCTCGGGGCAATTACAGAAGAGAGGCTGGATGTGGCCACCACCCACACAGCCTGCGGGGAAAGCCTGGCTCTATGTTGAGAAGCGTGGAGGCCACAGTAGGTATTTCGGTACCAAATGAAACACATAAGGCCACCTAACATGCTCACTGACACCTGGTGTGGAACACGCGCCCATGAACTGTTATCTGCCCCCCACAAGCCCCCTGGGGCTGCCAGGGCAAGGCCACTGAGCAGGGCTGGGAGGCTCTGGAGGTGGCCCTGCCCAGACAGGAGGGGTGGAACTGTGGGGGGCAGGGGAGGGGACACAGCCTGCCCATTCATTCTGTCATCCGAGGCATTCAGAAGCCACTCTGAGCCCTGCTTGTGTGCTGGCCCTTGGGGACACCCAAGTGACCTCTCATACAGTCCCTGCCCAACAGACCTGCATTCGGAGGGAGACGGAGACTGCAGACGGACACATGGCACAGGCGGTGGCGCTTGGGGAATGCAGACAGTGAGACCAGCCTTCCAAGCAGAGCAGTGTGGCCAAGGAGCAGGGGACAGTGACTGGCTGAGCAGATGGGGGTCCTCAAAGCTTCCAACTGGAGCCCTGAGTGGCTCACTGGGAACCTGACTAGCCTACCCCGGGCGAGAAGAAAAGAAGCTCAACCTCCACCAGGGTTTGTGTGCCTAATTCGTTTAAATTCTTTAGGGAGAGCTGTGTAACTAATTCCTAATTAAACACACAACAGAGGGGATACAGTCTCTCTCTAAAAACTAAGAACATCATAGCCAGGTGTGGTGCTGCATGCCCGTAATCCCAGCACTCCGGAGGCTGAGACAGGAGGAGCACCGTGAGTTCAAGGCCAACCTGGGCTACACAGTGAGCTCGAGCGCAGCCTGGGCTGCACAGCAAAACCGTGTCTCAAAAAGACTTTTAAAAAGAGAGAAAAGTAAACAAACTAAAAAATGATGGATAACACATCACCTTTAATAGTTTCGTCTGCCACTCTCTGGTCTCCCCTTCGCAACCAACCACCTTTGTCAGTCTGGTGAATGTCCCTCCTCCATAAGGCTGTCTGAATTTTTATGTGCATCACTATAAATATTGTTTGGTTGTTATTTCTTCCAATTAGCAGTGTGTTTCTGCAACCCAGCCACACACCTCTAAGCTCCTCGCTGCAATCCGCTGGAGGAAGAGCTTCCTGCTGACTTCCTCCTGCCTCATGGGAGGGTAGACAAGGCTCTTTAGCGCTTGGGAGCCCTGTGCACCCCAGCCCCCGTGGGGGGCAGGGGGCCAGCAGCTGACCTTTGCCACGGCCTGGATTCCTCCTTGTTAGGAAGGAGGAATTCCACTGCCTCAGCCGATTTTGCAAGGCTGGTGTTGGATCAAATGAGACTCAGGCTACACGCAGGGCATTTCCACACCCTCGTAATCTCCTTTGTACAGCTAATCCCATGGGAAGGCAGACCAGGCCCGGCCCACATTTTACAGCTCGAGAGGCCTGGCTTGGGGGCTGAGTCCCTGCCTGTGGCCCTCAGCTAGTAGCAGACAGCCTGGCCACACCCCACGCTAGAGGCTGTGGGTGACACAGGTTTCAGGACGCATCATCATCATCACGTCCTGTTCCTTTTCAGGGGAACCTGAGAAATGCAAATTAAAGCCAGGGGAGGCAGCAAGGAGAAGTGAGTGGGGCACCCATGCCAGGGAAAGTGCCACGGGGCCCAGGGCATGGGAGCGACGTGCGAGAAACATTGGGTGCAAGCGGTATGGCAGCTACGGAGGCTCTGTCTGGTGAAACAACAGTGCTTGCCTGTTCCAAAGGCAGCTTCCGGGCACAGAGGCAAAAGTAACAGAGTAACAAGTTCTCCGGGAGAACAGCCCCAAGTAGTGGCACTGGGAGATACACACACCCAGACATGTGTAAACAAACACACACTTACTCAGCGGCTGGATGTCAAGCCTGGCGTGGATGGGGGCGTCCCTGGATGTGATCCCCAGCACCTTGCAAGATAAAGATGCGTAGATGTGCTGTGGGCTTGGCAGGTCACACCTGCAATCCCAGCACTCCAGAAGGCCAAGGCAGGAGGAATTCAAGTTGGAGCCCATTTGTACAAAGGCCAGGAAGGTAAGACGTATCTGAAGAGGGGCCCAAGTACAAGGAACCTTCTATTTTACCCTCTATTTGAATTTTTTACAAGCCAATGTTCATTGCTTTTATAATGAGATTCTTTAACCAAAAGAAGTCTATAAAATAAAAATCAAAGCACAAGGCCTCCATTCAGCAGCCCCCAAGAGCCAGCAGCCAAGGCAAACGCCAGCGGCCACGGGTCCCACCCACTCCGCCCCCAGGGAGCTTTCTTCTGGAAGGCGCCAAGCTAAGAAGCAACTGTCTTGGGCCAGTCCTGACATCCTATCCTTCTTCGTGCATTCATGCTACACAACTCCAAACCAACCCCCTTCCAGGGATTTGTGCAGAAGGTGTCGCTCACCCACAGGTGACATCGCGGGCCAACAACAGGCAAGGAAAGAAGACAGCGGCTGACAAACCTGGAGTGGGCGGTGGAGTCTAAGTCTCCTGGCCCCAGCAGAAGACAGCGTTCCCTGCACACGGTCACGTGTGTGTGAGACCGTGCCACAGGCCCTCGGGGGAAAGGCACCCTGCACACTGGCTGGGCCCGCTGTGTACACACGGAGGTCAGCGAGGGCCGGAGACCAACGCAAAGCTCGCGGTGCCACTTGGAGAATGCTACCATCAACGCTGGGTCCAGCGGGAGGAAGGGACGACGTGGGCCCCGAGGGACAGCGTCCCTCCCCTGGGCTCCTCTACACAGCCTTATAGGACCTAACCGGACAAGCCTTGTGACCTCAAGAAAAGACTGGGACAATGGCTGTCCTACTCAAGCACGGTGCAGCCCAAAGGGAGCAGCTGGACCCTCGGTTCGTTCTTTCTGGGTGCAGGGCTCAGAGAGGGAGGGAGCAAAAGTCCCGTTGTTAAGAAACTTGGTGCGAACGGGGAGGCTGAGAGGAAGCGTTGTCAGCCCTCAGACACAGCTGCATCTCCACCCAGCTCTGCCCCGAGCGGTACGTTCAGTAAGGTAAGCCTCAGTTTCCCCCCGCGGTTAGTTCCTTCCAGTGCGGCGCTCTGCCGAGTCCCAGCCTGGGAGAATTCAGGTCAGCGAGCCAGCTTCCCGGGCCACTGAGGGCAGAGGCCCGGGCGTTTCCGTGGCGAGAAAGGCGAGGGTGAGCCAGGCTGGCGTCAGAGCGCGGCGCCCTGCGTTCTCTGGGACCCTGGCTGCGCTTGCCCCTGCCGGTCGGTCGCTGAGCAAAGCGGCTTAGCCTCTCCGCCCACGCGCAGAAGGCAGAGTGGGGGTGCGCAGCAGGCTGCCTCCTCGGAGCCGGGTTCCCCGGGGAGATCCTGGCTCAGAGGGTCCCTGCTGAGCCCCTGATCTGGTAGGCACACAGCGGACCATCCAGCAGCACCTGCCCCCGCCTCGCAGGTACACGGTACACAAGTGGAACCCAGCCGCGGGGCTCGGGGGACCCACCCGCAGTTCTCACGGGTCCTGCGCACCCCGCGCCCTGCCCCAGTCCCCACGGGTGGGCAACGGCTCCTGGACACCGACCTGGACACCCCCGCCGGACACCGCGCCCGGCTCCGACCCCGGGGGCCGGTCCCGGCCAGACCCACCTTGGCGACCTGCTGCCGGATGAGCGAGGGCACCAGGAGGATCATCACGGCTCCCAGCGCCGCGCACAGCAGCCCTGTGACGCCCAGCACCGCGGCCGCCTTGCGCGCTCGGGAGCGGCCGCCCATGTCTGCGCGCCCTGGCGCCCTGGGGGCTTGGCGACACGGGCTGGACTCCGGGGACGCAGAGGCGCGGACTCCGGGCACACCAGCCGCGGCAGATTGGCGTGCCTGGGTCGGCAGAGCACAGAAGAGCGGCCCCGCAGGCTGCCAGCGGCTTTATGCGCCATGGCCAGCGCCGCGCCGCCCCCGGCCGCCCCGGGCGCCTGGTTCGGGGGGCGGGGCGAGGGGCGGAGGGGCGTGCCAGAGCTGGGGCGAGACTAGGGTCTGGCGGGGACTGGTGATTGGTGGGGGTGCTTGAGGGGCGGGCCAGGCCAGGTCCCGCCCACGCTCCCACTGGCTGGGCGACCCGCCCGAGTTTGGGCGGGAGCCGGGTGTGCCCAGCCTTCTGTGGCGCCCGCAGAGCGTCGGTGTCCTCCGCCCTCGCCCGGCTCCTTGGCAGTCTGCGCCGTTGCTCATCCTCACACCTAGAAGGCGTTAGCCAGCCCGGACCAGCCCCCAGAACCTGGTCGGTGGTCATCGCTAAGCCCCAGCCTCACACTTGGTGCCTACGCCCTCCACTCCAGGTCCCCAAGCTGCGGGAGCATCCTCCCACCTCGGCCTGGCACCCCTTATCAGAGAGGCCTCCCGCCTCGGCCTCGGCCTTATCGCCCGGCAACACCTGGTGGGCGCCTCATGGTGTTAACCCCGGGCCTTTGCATAGAGCTGCATCCCCAAGGTTGGTTTTTGTTTTTGTTTTTGTCTTTTTGAGACAGGGTCTCCTTAGGCAGTTCAGGCTAGCCTTGAACTCACATTGTAGCTTAGACTCACAACCATCCTCCTGCCTCAGCCTCCTGAGCTCTGGGATTACAGGCTTGCATCACCACGCAGGGCAACCCTGGGTTGTTTTTTGGGTGTTTTGTTTTGTTTTGTTTTTCTGGTTTTTTGTTAAAGACGGGGTCATTCTCTAGGTTTCGGTCTCCTCACGTGGACATGGCTAAGCGCACCAAGAAGGTCGGCATTGTCAGTAAATACGGGACTCACTATGCTGCCTCCCTCCGGAAAATGGTGAAGAGGATTGAAATCAGCCAGCATGCCAAGTACACCTGCTCCTTCTGTGGCAAGACCAAGATGAAGAGGCGGGCCGTGGGGAGCTGGCACTGCGGCTCCTGCATGAAGACCGTGGCTGGTGACGCCTGGACCTACAATATCACTTCTGTGGTCATAGTCAAGTCAGCCACCAAAAGACTGAAGGAATTGAAAGACCAGTAGAAGCTCTTACTGTTTGAGACATCCCTAGCCTATAATAAATGGGTTCATTTATGGAGAGAGAGAGAGAGAGAGAGAGAGAGAGAGAGAGAGAGAGAGAGAGAGACCCTGAATCACTGCGGTCAGTGCTGAGGCCTGGCCAGCCCCTGACCTCTGCATGGCTGGGCCCAGGGCATCTACAGGGTCAGCTCCAGGGGAATCTGGCCTCTAAATCTGTAGCTGCTGAGTCCAGGGCCTCCCTAAGACTCCAGTCTTCGTGGGGATTCTAAGGGTACATCCCAGGGCTGCAGTGAGGACTGAACACACAGGGCACAAGCGGCCTGCTCAGGTCAGGGCCCGGGATGTGTGCGCGCCGTGGCTGTTTTCCAAGGCCCCTCTCTCTGTCCACCCAGCAGCCTTGCCTTCTCCATGCTCCTGAGAAAGCCGCAGCTTTCCTGCCCCAGGGCCTTTGCACTTGCTGTTCTCGCTTTTGAAGCACTCTCAGCTAGGCCCTGCCTGGCTGACTCCTCTCCCGGGACTCAGCTCAAACCCTGCTCCTCAGAGAAGCCTTCTGTGTTTGATCTGCTGTAAAGTGGAGCTCCAGCCCGCCGGTCAGCAGGTCCCCCGCTCTGTCTGCACGCTTCCTGGAGGGAGACGCTGGTCTCTGCTCTGCTCGGTGCCTGGATCGACACCCGTCACAGGACCAGGCGGGTACTTGGCCAATGCTTGAAATCATCAGTTGGCTCATTCGTTTGCTCAGGAGTCAGGCGACCATTCATTCATGCATGTTTAGTGAGTCCCTTGAGTTTTCCTCAGCTCTGCGCTGGGGATTATTTTGGTCCTAGTGACACTGGCAGTTCTTGGAAAGGAGCCACTTAGCTGCCTTTGCTGAGCCCCTCAGCCGGGCTGACCTCTGCGAGTCGCTCCTGAGCCGCTCGGTCTTCAAGGTCCAGATGTGCGTGGTGCTGACATAAGCGAGCCCAAGGCCGGCTCCTGGCCCGGGTGACAATGCCATGCGGTTGCCTGACCAGAGCCCTGGGCAGAGATGAAAGCAGGATGGTCACACGGGACCTGCCTCCTGACCTTGCCTTTGGTGTAGGGGGTGGCAGCGGAGGAAGGGAGATAAAGCGTGCCGTCCCTGAGAGGCCTTGAGGAGAGGTGGCTGCAGGAGAAAGGGCAGAGTGACCAGAATGGTGTCGAGGGTCCTGGGAAAACCAGCTCGGACGGTGGCTGCTTGAGAGGCTGAGGCAGGAGAACTACCAGTCTGCGGCCAGCCGGAGGGACTTAGCAAGACCTTGTCTCAAAATAGTATTTCTTTTTGAGACAGGGTCTCCTATGCGGCTCAGGCTGGCCTTGAGCTCACTTTGTAGCCCCGGCTGGTCTCAAACTCACAATGACCCTCCTCCCTCTGCCTCCCAACTGCTGGGATTTCAAAATAAAGCAACATTTTAAAAAACTGCAAGCTCAAGGCCCTTCATTCCTTCCCTGGGACTACAAAAATAATAACAGCAATCGCGAGGTGTGATGGTGCACACTTGTAATCTCAGTGCTCGGGGAAGCTGAGGCAGAACATTTGCAAATTCAAGCCCAGCGTGGGCCACTTAGCAATGTCTTATATGAAAATTTAAAAAATGAGAAGGGGCAGGAGATATAACTTAGTATAAAGGCCCTGGGCTCGACCCTCAGTACCAAAGCAAAGACTGTGTACAGGTATTCACAGCAGGACCCTCATCAGCGGCCCCAGCGGACTCTCCAAGCTCTCAGCAGGGGCGGACATGGAGCAAAGCCCAGTGCAGCGCACTGCAGGCTGTCCTCAGACGTCAAACGCCAGGCCTGGCCTCCTCGATACGGACGGACCTGGGAGACATCACTGGGGACTTGGGCAGGATGCAGCAGCCACCTTCTGGGGGTTCTGTTTCTCTGAGGAGTCTGGGATAGGCATGTTTTGGGGACAGAGATTGACTCCTGGTCATCAGGACGAGGAGAATAGAGAGGCTCCTCTGGGCACGCGGGTGCTCTCTGGTGTGGGGAAAGCGTTCTAAAACAGATCCCGGCAATGGGCGAACAACTCCGTGTGTATGAAAAGTCACTGAACGGTCAATCTGGCTGGGGGGGTGCACGCCTGTGATCCCAGCGCTCGGGAGGCTGAGGCAGGAGGATCGCTGTTCAAGGCCACACTGGCCTACACAGCGAGACCCTGCCTGAATGAAATGAAAACAACAATGGAACATGAAAACCCACAAAAATAAAATAAACACTAGAACCAATGGGTAAATTTACTACAAAGTTACACCACAGAAAAAGTTTCCTAACTCCCTTCCCCTCTTCTCCTGGCCTTGAGGAGGGACTGCTCCGGCTCCGCCTCGGAGCCTTGTATGTGGGCTCCCTCTGCATCTGGCTCCTCTCCCCCCTCAACTTGCTGCCTCCCTGCCTTTCTGATCCCTGCCTCTGCTTCTCCGCAGCGCCTTCCAGTAGCCCTGACAGCTTCACAGTGTCACTGTCTGTCTTTCTTAGGGCTGGGGTGCTGAACTGGATCCCTTTCTATTTTATTTCAAGACAGAGCCTCGCTCCACCAGAGACCGCTGTGCTCTGTATGCAGACAGGAGAGAGAAGTGGGGAAGGGAAGGCGGGAAAGAGAAAGTCACTTGAAAAGCAAGAGACCACCTGTGAGACCACCAGTCATCACCACCTTCCTTCTTGAGGAAGCGGACTCGGCCTGAGCCCCAGGCGCGGGGCTGTCCTGCGTCCTGCACACAAGCCGGGCAGCGGGCCAGAAGTGACGCTCAATGCTGTCCTGCGTTACAACTGCAGGCGCCCTGGCCCCTGCCACAGCTGCCCCTGGGACCTGACACGAGCTCCCGGAAACGACACACCCTGCGTCTCCTACACACCGGATCCCCGAGGCCCAGGCGGCAGGAAGCCCGTGAAGCACCTCAGTGTTCCCACATCGACTGCATGCTGCAGTGGCAGTATTTGGTCCTACGCAGGCTCAGATGCACTGCTGAAATTCGTGTTGCCTGTTTCTTTTGCAAAGCTTGGCTATTGACAGTGGAATTGCCCACATTGGGCTGGGGCTGGGGCTCCGGGTGCAGCGCTTGCCCGGGAGGTACACAGGGCCTGGGGCGCAGCACAGCCCTGCAGAGAGGGACGACCACACTCTCATGGGCCTTCGCTGCCCTCCTATTGAGGATGACTATTTCCTCCAGGAGAAGAATGAGACCAGGGTCAAGGCCATCAAGGCGGGAACAGCCTCTCTGAGAAGCTGCAGGAAGGAGCAGTGGATGAGCAGCCAGCCACAGGCCCGGGCAGGAGGCGCAGGCAGGGCGTGAGGAGGTACCCGCCTGCGTGGGGTGCAGGTGAATGTCCCAGTTGCCGGTTCCCCCCTCAGCTTCCTCTCAAGGCATAGGCTCTGCCCCTGCCCCACTCCTCCATTTCCATGTGCTATGGGCCAATGTCCCTGCCCCTGTCACGGCATTTACCACAGACAAAAACCCCAGGGAGCCTGAGTCTACTGGTGCAAACTGTCTGTGTCATGCACCACTGCCCACGGCCACCTGCAGGAGTGTCCCCATCCCTCAGGGCTGGCAGGCAAAGCTGATCTTTGCCCTGGTCCCGGACCTGTGCTGTCACCACTAGGCGCGGCCAGGACAAAGGTCCTAGCCCTGGCAAGGACCTGGCTAGCTGTGGAGTTGCACCTACCCCACAAGGACACCACAAGGTCACGGGGCAAGGAGCAGTGGGGGAGGAGGAAGACCCTGATGTCCGCTGGTCCTCCCAGGGATGCACCGCCCACCCGCTCACCCATCCACCCATGAGCCAGAGTCTCCTGAGTGGGCCGGGCTAGGGGTGCAAGGCTGCAGGGAGTGTGAACAACACAGCAGACCCCTCTGCCCCGGCTGACTGTGAGTGGGAAGAAAAGCTTAAAAAAACCAAGCCAAGGCTAGGGATGGGGCTCAGCGCAGAAGTTCTTGCCTGGCATGGGCAGGGCCGCGGCTTCCATCCCAGCCCCACAGGAGCAGCACGAAGCACAAGCAGGGAAGGAAGGCGTCCCGCACTGCTCCTTGCCCCGTGACCTTGTGGTGTCCTTACGGGGCAGGTACAACTCCACAGCTAGCCAGGGGATGCAGCAGCACGCAGAGGCTGAGGAAGGAGGGTGGAGGGCTGGACACAAGCCTGGAAGTTTCCAAATAAAAATAAAAAGCTCAGGAATGGGATGAATCTCAGTGGTAGAGCCCCCCGGGGCTCAATCACCAGAAACACAAAAAGAGGGAAGAAGACCACGCCGTGAAACAAATGAGTGTGTGGAGTGCAGGACACAACTTTCCTACTGTGGGGCTTTCTGTCTTTTCAGTACTGGGGTGGAACCACTTTTATTACCAAAGAAGGTCTCACTACACTGCCTGGGCTCGCCTGGAGCCTGCAGTCCCCCCACCTCAGCCTCCAGAGTGCTGAGATTGCAGCTGCGCCACGCGGCACCCTCCTCCTGGCCGCCACGCTGGGAGCAGCTCCCCTCTGCTGGGCCTTCCATGTGATGTTCCGGCCTGGGAGGGGACGGCCACGGACTGCACCCTCTGGAAACCGTGAGCCAGAAGAAGCCTTTCCTCCTTCAGGCTGGCTTTCTGGGACACTGTCACAGCGTCGCATGCTGTGTCAACATTGTCAAATTTGTGTGTGGATATCCATCACTGGACAGTGTTTCTGGGACACCTGTCCTGTAGCAGATGCAGCACAGGGCCGTGGAGACCCTCTGGTGGCAAAGCATGGGGTCCCATCACCCGAGAGCTTGTGGTTTGGAAAGTGGGACCAGCCATGAAGAAGCACAGGGGCACAATGCCAAGCAACACCAGCAGACAGTGGAGAAGGAGCTGCGAGCGGGGCCAGCGTTTGTCCTCACCCCTGCCTCCTGCAGCAAAAGAAAAGCACCACACAGCTTTGCATCCGTGCTACCAAGGGTCTGCCATCCCATGAAGGCTCCCCTGACTGCTTGTGATCTGTTTTTGTCAAGAAATGTAGTAGAAATGAGCTGGGCGTGATGGCACACACCTGTCATCACAGCTACCCTGGAGGCTGAGGCAGGAGGATCGCAAGCCATAAGTCAGCCCGGTAACATAGCCAGGACCCTGTCTCAAAATAAAATAAGAAGGGCCGTGGAAGCCCAGGTGTAAAGCACCCTGGATTCAACCCCCAGGATGGAGAGAAGGGAAGGAGTTGGGAGGGGAAGGAAGAGGAGGAGGAGGAGGAGGAGGA